TATACACCCAATGGCGAGTCATGAGCGAGAGGGTGGAGATGAGAAGCGGTGGAAGCCAATAAATGCCTAACGTCGGCTGCGAAGGGGGAATCGCAGCAACTTCAAGCCAAACCAAGAGTGGTGGCCGCCCTAATGGTGGCCGTGGAGGCTTCAACCGTGGCCCCAAGGGTGGTCGACAGTGCTCGGACTCCTTCCCCGAGTACCGAGCAATCAGCGTCACGTGCGGATCTGTGGCCTCAAGGGCCATCCCGCCTGGAAGTGCTATAATCGATTCGATGAGCGCTTACTAACGGCGATCGTCCACGTGGTGCGCATCCATTGCATCAACCAACTACGGGTGGACACCAGCTGGTACATGGATTGGTGCCACGACCACATCACCGGAGAGTGAACAAGATGACCGTCCGTGACAAGTATCACGGAGGAGAGCAGTGCATGCAATAGCGGCTCGGTATGGAGATCTCACATGTTGGTCATAGTACTTTGCGATCCCCTTTGCATAAAATTCATCTGAAATATTCTTCATGTTCCAAGTGCTAACAAAAGTCTAGTTTACATTAATCGTCTCACCCGAGACAATAATGCTTTTGTTGAGTTTCATCCGAACATTTCCTTATAAAGGAACAGGGACGAAGCAAATACTCCATAGAGGCAAGTGCGAGGGTGGCCTCTATCCCATCAAGCTATCCTCCGGTGAGTCATCATCCAACAAGCGGTGCCCTTGGTGTTGCAAAGGTGTCATCGTCGTTTGTGGCAGAGGCTCGGTCACCCCTCTACTCCAGTCGTCCAGCATATTCTTGGTCATCATAATTTTCCTGTTAGTCGAGATACGAACAATAATCATGTTTGTGATTCGTGTCAACAGGGCAAAATGCATCAATTGCCCTATCCAAAGTCAATTAGTGTGTCTACTAGTCCTTTGGAGCTTGTGTTTCTCGATGTTTGGGGACACGCCCCAACATCGGTTGGTAGATATCGATTACTATGTGAGTTTCATCGATGACTATTCCAAATTTACTTGGATTTATTTGCTTCGACATAAATCAGATGTGTTTCAATGTTTCCGTGAGTTTCAAAACCTAGTAGAACGCCAATTTGATAGGAAAATCCTTGCATTACAAAGTGATTGGGGTGGAGAGTATCAATCTCTTAATTCATTCTTCAAAATGTGGGCATTACTCATTATGTCTCCGCCCCATGCTCATCAACAAAATGGTGCGGTGGCGTAAACATCGTCATATAGTTGAGATGGGGATCACCCTTCTAGCTCATGCATCTATGCCTTTGAAGTTTTGGGATGAAGCCTTCCTTACTTACTTTTTTTGATCAATCGATTGCCATCAAAAGTAATTGATAATCAATCCCCATTGAAGCGTCTTTATGGACAAGCACCAGATTATACTTTTCTTCGCACATTTGGATGTGCGGTGTGGCCAAATCTTAGGCCATACAACTCACGGAAACTAGAGTTTCGTTCCAAACAATGTGTGTTCATTGGTTACAAACAACTCTCACAAAGGGTTCAAATGCTTGGATCCAAAAGAAGGTCGTGTTTACATCTCAAGAGATGTTGTTTTTGACGAGAGTGTCTTCCCTTTGCATCTCTTCACAAAATGCGATTGCACGTTTAAGGCCGAGCTTCACCTTTACCGAAATTCTTCGCAATCCTTCTATGCAATTTGGGGATGCAATTGTACATGATCATCAGATGGGTTCTCTGGCAATACTAATGGAAGTTCTAGTAATGTTGTTGATGCGGTGTCTTTGAAAAAATTGAGCTCCATCGATTCTCCTCATGCTTCAACCGGTGGCGCACACGATCGTCATTTTTCGTAGTCGGATCCGGGAGGCTGCACCGATCCCCGGTTGATTCACACTGCGATGGCGAGCATATCATCATCATCGGGCTCCGCTCCGTCCTCGTCTCGATGCGTGGCCGACATTGGGACCGGTCCGGGCGGATCTTCGCTGCAGACGCATCTGCGCACACGCAGATCCGATCGAGGGGAGCGACGACATCACCAACAGCGTCAACGTCCCGCTCCGCGACTCGAGGTTGATCCGATCGGATCGGCCGTGGGCGATCTGATTGGTGCTCACCGGTCTGCGTCCGATCCTGCGGCGCTCGCTCCTGGCCGCCGCACGACTGTCACACGATCCCAACACGGCATCACTCGACCAAAGCGGTATAACGATGGCACGGTGAGGTGGGGTATGCATAGTATTTTATCTGGCGATGAGCCTAACGGTGTTGGTGAAGCTCTTAAGAGTCCTCGGTGGGTGCATGCTATGGAGAATGAACATCAAGCCTTGCTCGTAAAAGCGGTACACTGCATCTTGTTCCTAGGCCCAAAGGGAAGAATGTGATTGGGTGCAAATGGGTGTATAAAGTAAAGAGAAAAGCAGATGGTTACATTGAACGTTACAAAGCTCGGCTAGTGGCAAAAGGTTACAAGCAAAGGTATGGAATTGATTATGAGGACACTTTTAGTCCAGTTGTAAAAGCTGCTACTATTCGACTAGTGTTGTCGATTCTTTGTGTCAAAGGGTTGGTTTTTAAGGCGGTTGGATGTTCAAAATGCCTTTCTCCACAGTATCCCTAGAAGAGGAGGTTTATATGCACGGCAACCATCGGGATATGAAGACCACAGATACCCCAACTATGTCCTGCAAGCTTGATAAGGCTATTTATGGTCTAAAACAAGCTCCAAGAGCTTGGTATGCTCTACTGTGTGCTAAATTAGTATCTTTGGGTTTCATACCATCCAAGTCGGATACTTCGTTATTCTATTTGCTCGTGGAAACCTGAGCATCTTTGTTTTGGTGTATGTTGATGACATAATTGTTGCAAGCTCATCGTCTTAAAGCTGTTGGTGCATTGCTCAAGAATTTGCGTGAAGGACTTTGCCTTGAAGGACCTTGGGGAGTTGCATTTCTTTCTCGGCATTGAAGTAAAAAAGGTACAAAATGGTCTAGTACTAAATCAAGAGAGGTATGCTAGAGATATCTTAGTCGGATCGGGGATGAACAAATGCAAAGCAATTGATACCCCTCTCTCTAGTAGTGAAAAATTGAGTTTGGAGGATGGTAATCCTCTCGGGCTGAGAAGATTGTACAAAGTGCATGAAGCATGGTTGGAGCACTCTGAAGTACCTAACATTGACTAGACTGATATATCTTTTTGCGATAAATAAAGTTTGTCGGTTTCTTCATTCACCCACTACTGACCCATTGGAGTCTGAGTTAAAAGGATTCTTCGATATGTTCAAGGAACATTGAGTTTGGGGTTAAGATTTGGTAGATCCAAGTCCATGATAGTAAGTGCTTTCTCGATGTCGATCAAGGGGTGTGTTGATGATGGAAGATCAAGCTGGAGGATTTGCAGATTTCTAGGGAGCAATTTGATCTCTTGGAGCTCCAGAAGCGAGCAATCTGTGTCAAGGTCCAAGATCGAGGTGAATACAAGTCTTGGCCAATGCAACGGCAGAGATGATTTGGGTCCAAAATTGTTGAGTGAGTTGAGGATTCCTCATGCTCCTACGGCTCTGCTATGGTGTGACAACTTAGGTGCAACCTATCTCTCGCCTAATCCGCTTTTTCATGCAAGAACTAAACATATATAGAGATTGATTATCACTTTGTGAGAGAAAGAGTAGCATCAAAGTTGTTGGACATCAGGTTTGTAAGTTCAAGTGACCCGGTGGCGGATGGTTTTACTAAAGCTCTACCACGTGTGAAGTTGTTAGATTTTAGGAACAATCTCAACCTTGTTCGTATTTGAGATTGAGGGGGAGTGTTAAAATAGGATATGTCCTATTCTATAGTCTAGAATCATTTGTATATGGTAGTTCCTTGATTATAGGCATAGATTGTTGATTTGTAACCAACCAAGATATGGTTGTTGTAACCTCTTGTACGCCATCTCAGGAGGGCTGTTCTCCTTGCCTATATTAACACGGAACCGGGGGCCGGCAATGGTATCCTCGTTAACCTAATTTTACAGTGCGTGCGTGAGGGACGACGACTTTGTTGCAGTCGCTGCTAGCCAAAATGCCAGATCAGGGGGTGTTTGATTCGGTGACTAAAATTTAGAAGATGTCACGTGAGAAGGTCGTATGGAGTGTTCGAATACTAATAAAAAAACAAATTACAGAATCCGTTAGTACTCCACGAGACGAATTAATTAAATCTAATTAATTTGTCATTAGCATATATTACTGTAGCACCTCTTGTCAAATCATAGATTAATTAGGTTTAAAAGATTCGGCTCGCAAATTAGTCGCAAACTATGTAATTAGTTTTATAATTAATCTATATTTAATATTTTATGCATGTGTTAAATATTCAATGGCGCATCGACTAAAGTTTAAAAGAGAAACAAATACAACGTCTGATGTCTGATGAGTGCGCGCCTCCCGTTGCATCGTGCTATCTGCTAGAGTGCGCTACTGCGTTTTGGCTTTTATTTACCCCGTGTCCACTTCTCCGCGCTTATCGGCCGGTCCGCATGAGTCGAATACCCCTAGCTGCCGTACGTCTCACCAAGAGGAGATCGATATCGATCGGGCACCTAGTCGTTGCCCTCTGCATGCACCGTCCAAAATGTATTTATTTGCAGCTAGCTAGCAGCGACGACATGCATGAGACATGAGACATGAGAGTGAGACGCGTACATACGTACTACGACTCCGATCCAGACATATGATCTTTCCCCAAAGAAACGATCGGGAGACCCGGCCACTTGTCGAATGGCACGCGCAAGGGATCAACGACGGCGACGACGACAGCGATGCGCCGGGCTGCTGATGCTCCAGCGTCTGCCGTTCGATGGAGACGGCAAATGGGATGAATGAATACATGGAGAAGCAAAACGGGATCATTACCTTTCGAAACCAGAGTTCAAGCTCTGCCATATTATTGGGCCACGTTGCCTTTCTTTTCGGCCGTCCGATTTCCAGTCTCAGATTGATCGAGTCGTTGATACTGGCCGTCCAGTTCGCCTATCCCGATTCTTCGTGAACTCTCCGCTCCCCCCTCGGTCTCTCCTCGGCCGACGACCTCGGCAAGGGGCATCCCGTCCCACTCCTCGCAGCCCTGGAGATCGCCGCTCCCCACTCCTCGCAACCACGGCCAGCCTGCAGCCTCCGCTTGCCGCGCCGCCAGCTCCTAGCCCCCTCCACAACCGCCTCCTCGGCCGTGATGCATGGGCCACGGCAAGGGCGCAACCAACCGCGCACAAGCGCGGCCGTCGACATGGCAGCTCAGGCGCCAGCCACCAGCGAGGCGGCGCGACCCGCGCTGTCAAGCCGAGCGCCGCTCGCATGGGCGAGGTCCCCAGGGCAGACGGATGGGGCCGCCACCCGTCCAGTCTGCTCACGAGGCATCTGCAAAAGCTGAGGGCGCCATGCTGCTTTCCTCCCCCAACTTCCTCCGGCAGGTGAGCCCGTCCAGTCTGCTCGCTGCGTTCCCGACGAGGCCGGCTTCATCAGGCGCTCGTCCTCCCGAGTCCCGCCTCCCCGTGTGGCCGTGTGCTCTTCCTCCACTGTTATTTCGTGCAGCTGAATTGTCCCATGTCAGCAGTCATGTGCAGGAGAACAGTCATGAGCGCGCACGCAAGGTGCTTGGCGAAATGCCAGCAAGGTGAGATTGCTGTTACCGGGAAGAATAGTTTACTCAAGGTCTGCTCCTTCTATTCCATCTGTCAGTAAGCACCCAAAACTGTATTGCTTCAAAAAACTTCCTCAATCAAATTAATGGCTTAATATATCTATTGCAGTTCATTCCATGGACACGGCACTTCCGGACAATAAATACTGTCAAGTGATTGTTTCCATAAGTGAATTATGTGTTGTTAATAATTCTTGCAATGCAACTTCATATGTAGATTAAGTGCTCCTACAAGAATCCATTTCTTTTCATGATCTAGGGTTAACCTCCACAAATACAGGGATATTAGAGAACGCCTAAGAAGCACTAATACCTTAATTAACCACCAATCTAGGCTCGTAACCTAAGAAGCACTCAATAACATTTTTATCTACTCTAGCAATCAATCGGTGACGTATCCAGGGAAAAATATAAGGGGGGCTGAATAAAGGGCGACAAGCCGCTAAGTCTAATGTGCCTCCATATAAAACAAGTATATATACCCAAAGGCCGAAGTCCCAAACCAATAGATGACACGTGACAATGATGCCTACTACTCGTTGCGAAGAGCAATATATACAGAAGACACAGTAAATTAATCCCACAAATACGAATAAATTTCAAAAAATCTAAAATTAGAAGAGGATGTTCCATACCACTAATTTTTTAGGCACTAACATACGAAGTTTTTTCATCTGTTGAAACCGTTTTAGGCGCATAATCTTCAATTGTTTGCGATTTCCTGGATTGTCAATGAGTGACTAAAGTTTGCCATTCTAATATTCAAAACAATTAAGCAAATAACTCAGTAAATCACAGATAACAACTTCTATCAATCACAATTCAGACAATTTGTATACCTATCCTGAATCTCGATTAGTTGAGTCCTTCACTGCCCGCTAGCCTGCTTTTGTCATGACTGCTACAACATCTGCGTTTGAATTAAATTGGGAAAAATCTAGATAGAAGACTTCGAATTGAGAGGGCTGTAGGATGAAAGTTGTTCTTTCTTTCATATCGCACTGTGTAAACCTTACCTGAATATAGTTTTTTCAACTTGTTCTGTGTGATGAGTAGGTTTTGCTGTAGGATGGCAGAGTCAAGTAGAGTATTTTAATGGGATCAAGGAAGATGATTGTTCAAGAGTGTACAGGTTCCAGATCTTGCTGCCAAGTGGCATGAGCAGAAGGCTTATGTCGCATGATCCTAGCGAAGAGTTGTCAGTTTTTGATGTCTTAGGGTTCAGAGGGAGTTGGATAATATACACTGGGATTACTCTAACTTTCCCACTGCACATCGATTATATAGATCTCGATTTACTTCCTTATTACATATCCTTCCCCAGCAGCTCGAGACAAGTAATAGGCTTCAGCTTTTCCTTACTCTCAAATTATATTTACCTTTTATATAAATCAATACGCTTCCATGTTTATCAAACAAATTATCTGTATTTTCAACTTTTAATGCCATGTAATTTGAGGTGTCAAAATTATATTCCCTCCTACAAATATACATGATGTATTACATTACCTTTTTATATCTGCATCATTGAATAAATACAAAAATATGTATACGGATTTTTCTTTATTTTTATTCGATGAATATACAGTTCTTTCTATTTGATAAGGCAGTTGAGGCGTATCGGCTTCCCCCACACCCCACTAACTCTCTCCATATGATCTCACATATCGCGGGCTATAACAGGTTCCAGACCTCCTAAAAGAACAACATTTGATTGGGCATAAAATGGAAATACACATTTGTTCTCAAGATTTCAGCAAAGCAAAGTTTTACCACAACAATTAATTATCCCCTCTACTTATAGTGAAAGGTAGGGAATATAGAAAAGAGGAGTATCAGAACCTGTAAAAACTGGCTGGCACTCCACAGAGGGCGCAGCAAAGCCCCCTGAAAGCAACACCCACCACACCATCCAGGGCTCCAGCACCAGCACCAGCACCAATAGAGGTCATGGGAGTCCTGCTGCGTCCGCGAATCATGCATCATATCCACCGGGCACCAACTTAGGCCTTGATCTGCGTCCTGATCGGGGGTGCCCAACCAAATCATGGTTGGTGGGCCTTGAAATGATCCTGATTTCCTCAAAGGAAAATTCACATTTTCGAAGTAAAACGTGATAGTCCCATGTGATCATCCAATCACATTATCAAATAACAGTCGATATCACAGTCATACATCGAATACATGTCTCAAAGAGAGTACAAAATAGCATGGTTCATTCATTATTACATCGCTACTTGGCGGAATCACTCAGAGCATACAACATATAGAACAGCTTCAAGTAGAAAGGCAGTGGGCGTCGACTCCATCTTCTCAACCAAACTTGAGCGCAGGAACAAGACCTCTAATCCTCCCAACCGTCTCCCTGGTAGTCGTACTCAGGCTCAGAACCTATCAAACAATTATCAGTACGATTGGTACTGGCCACTAGCTCCCACCCTATGCTTTGTGGTAGTGGAATGCAAGGGTAGAGCAAAAGACCTATTTGTGGCTGTAGTTTTCCTATGCGAGTATGCCAAGTTTTAATAATAATTCCTCAAGTTTTCACCCATCTCGTCCACACGTTCTCCCATCATATCACACACATCTCACCACTCTCACACTCTCTAGGCGACAAGGACAACTCCCGCTCGTACCTTGCCCCATCGGTCAAAGCCGGAAACCAACACAAGAACCCAGGGGAAGAGAAGAAAGAACTCCACTCACTAATCAAGGGAAGCGTAGGTCATAGGAATGTCCATATCCAAGGACGCGGCTATACGTGATCGTTCAACTCTGCAGAGCGTGTACACCTGGAGCCACAAGATCACCATCATCGGCGGCGCCCCGCCTAGGATGATACCGACTGCCTCCCAACCGGTATGGTGCCACCCTACCACTCAGCCCTAGGCCACCCTGGAGTCCACCAGCACGCTGAGATTGTGAGACGTAGTACCGGGCTCCCAAAGGTCACTACGCTGTCTTAGGAGGGTGTGAGCCATACGCCCGTACCTCCCTACACTATCCACTTCCAACCTAGTAGTAGTGGCACCGTCCTAGTTGGTCGGGTAACCATCCCCCGCCCATTCAGGAGCGAGTGGTGTGTACGTAGGGTCCTATGATCCGGTTCTCTCGACATACCAGTCCTTAGGGGGACCGGACAGGATATCTTCTCAACAGGGGATAACCAACACCCCTTGCCTCGACGGCACCTCCATCCCAGGGCTTCATCCCACAAAGACACTCCACCCTGGGATCTCCTCATCTCACATGCACCTGCCACTGGTACCACTCGTAGGGGATGCTTAGGTCGCACCCCCCTGGCAAGACTTGCCCAACGACTCATCGTAAGATCCTGCCCGATCGACTCAACCCTCACCACACACCCAAAACGCACGCCAAGATCTCCCCGGTTGTTACCACATTACCGGCACCAAGTGCCTTAACCACTCACATACAATCCTCCACCAAGCATCACATCACAAATATAATGCGTAGTAGAAGTAGTAGCAAGTAAGTCAGTGAGCATCTAACCTAACAGCGGGTGTGCAGGGGTATAGGTTGCAACAAGGTAATGGCTCACAAGCAATTCTACCATGCGACCTATCACAGATCATTTGCATAAAAGTAAAGCACTAGCATCTACCTTGTAGCATGTCTAATAGGATTCTACGAGGTTGGGTGGGACGTGGCACCTGGCAGGTCGTCTCCAAGCTCCTTGGTGTAGTCGGGGTCGTGCTCCTCAGTCTGTGGCTCCTCTGGGTCTGTTAAACGAGACATATAGCCACGATAAGCGACTCCTATTGATGATCACAAAGAAGCAACACAAATTCAAAAGATCCAAATGCACTCAAACACAAGCCTATGACGTAGAGCTCATTTCTAGAAAAATTTGGGCACTAGTTTCATATTTTTCTGAGGTCGTATGAAGTTTCTAAGTTTAAATCATTTTCTAAAAAAGAAAAAGAATTGGATTAACCAGAGGCTGACGCGTGGCGCATCCGGATTGGGTCAGGTGGTTGCGGTCATTGACAGGTGGGATCGGGTCAACGGTCAGCATTGATCGGTCAACGTTGACTGGGCCTTGACTGGGCTCAGTGGGCCGGATCGGGCCGAGTTGGGCTGGTTTAGGCCGGGCCAGGCCTAGATACGTGGCGATCGGCTAGGCCGACCACATGGCGTGCGTGGGCCGCTACTGGGCTCAGGTCCACAGGGCTCAGCGCACGGTGGATAGCGTCGTGTGGATCCATGGACCGCAGGCATGGTCCACGGTGGATCGCGTCTACTCCCTCTCTCTCTTTTTGGTCTACGGTGCACCGGGTGCACGCGGGTTTAGGCTGGGGTGCGGCGGCTCCCTCTCTCTCGTGGTGACGCTCTCACCGGCAGCGAGCTCATGCGTTCTCGTGCTATGGCGGCTCGGAGGGTCAGCTAAGGGGGTCTACATCATCGTGAGGTCATGGGGAACTCCATGGTGGGCCAAAGACGACGACATGGAGGCTCATGCGTCCGGCTTAGGCATCACGGAGGGTGGCGGTGGTGCGGATCAATGGCAAGGGTGCCAGAGGCGTTGGCATAGCCCAAACGGGGCTACTACGGCTTCCAGGTGGTCCAACGAGCACGACTAGGGTACTAGGCGAAGCTCCAAGGGCTCCGATGAGGTTGGCCACGGTAGCAGTGGCTCGGCGGCGGCGGCAGGTTGCGGTGAGGCGGCTGCGGTCACGATTAGAGCTAAGGGTGGCTCCTTTCCTTCAATTGGGGTCGTGGGGAGGCTAATCGGCCTACCAGCGGTGACCAAAGGGCACGACGAAGTTTGCACCGTGGCAAGGTGCGCGGTGGAGCTCCGGTGAGCTTGCGGCTACGGCGAAACAAGGCAAGGCATGGGCTTTCCACACGGCAGGGTGCGTGGGGTTACGGCGAAGCTCGATGGCCAGATCTCGTCATGTGAGGCGGCCGGAGTTTGCTGGATCGTCCCTGGCACGGCGACGACTTGGGCACCCG